AATCAAAACATAGAATGGGAAACACTCAGCAATGTAGATAAATTTTGTGATAAAAGATAGTAGCACAAATTCATGTCTATATTCACGATCAGACTTGTTCTACATCCTATGTATGTATCAGTCTCATTACCCTACAATGCAGATACTTCATACTTGTTGAAAAATTTAGCAGTCATTGGTGCACTTGTTCCTACACAATTGCACACATGACACAAATCATAAAGCTTCAGAGCAACTGATGTTGCAATATGCTATACATCACCAATAAAAATGCAGATGAATAGTATTATGGAGCAAGACAACCTTGAAGAGGCTACCAAAATATGGCCCAAAATAAGATATTTGGAGTAATGTCTAAGGTTTGTATAAAAGGAGCATGATTCTAATTGAATCTCCAGAAAGTGACAAGCTAACAAGCAAAAGCTACGTACTACTCCAACAAAGCCCAGTACAGTACATATAAGAATTCAACTCACCGAGATCAACATAAGCAAAATACTCAACACATAAGGACTTAAATCAAATTTAAAAAACGTAGAACATCCAACAAAACAGGAGTAAATCTGCAATTATAAAAAAAAAAAAACCAAGGTACAACAAACTCACCTTCCTCGATAAACACAGAGAGCCCAAAATCCGTGGCTTTCAGCATGGCCTTCTCATCCTTGCTCGACAGCAAAAAGTTCTCGGGCTTGAGATCCCTATGCATCACCCCCATAAAATGGCAGTGGTGAACCACATTCACGATCTGCCGACACAGCTCGGCTGCGGCCCTCTCTGAATAATGCCCCTGAGCAATAATCCTGTCGAAAAGCTCCCCGCCCTCACAAAGCTCCATCACCAAATGCACGGTCAGCCTATCCTCGTAAGCCCCCTTAAACTCGACTATATTCGGCTGCCCGCTTAAATGCTGCATTATATGAACTTCCCTCTTCATATCCTCCCTGTCGTTCTTGTTCACGAGTTTCCTCTTCAGAATCGACTTGCACGCGTACGGGTGACCCGTGGCGATCTCGGTGCAGGCATAGGTGACCCCAAATTGACCCCGGCCCAGTTCCTTGCCGATTTTGTACTTGGACTTGACATCCTCAAAGGGCTTTCCCAGGATGTTGTTGGGCTCGAGTTTTTGGACATTGTTCTGAGTTTGCGGGGTGGGTTTGTTTTGAGGAGTCGGAATTTGGGGCTGAGGATGGGGTTGGGGTTGGGATCGGGGTTGAGCTGAGGGCTTTTGGTGATTTTGATGGAGCTGCTGGTAATCTGTGGGGATTGGCTTTTCTGATCTGTGGTTATTGGCATCTGGGCTTGAATATTTGTGGTTGCTAAAACAGCCGCCCATTGTTTTATTTTCTCTCTTGGCAAATACCACGGCAAGTGGAATCAAGAATCAAGATTGCAACTTTGATAGTGGGTTGAGTTTAATTTGGCATGAAGAAGATGGAATCTTGCAGGATGGAACTTGGAAGTGTGTGTGAGGGGGGACAAAAACTCGGAAGAAATTGGTGTGATATATTACAGCAAGAGTTTGGAAGAGGGTTTGGCTATGGTGGATGGACTGTGAGTAGGGCTGAGGTCAGAAAGGTAAAACCAGGTTTGTTGACTTCTGTTGCTCAAGCCTTCTAGCTAAAGGTGTGTTTATTTCAAGTGTTTCACATGTTTTGCTGTTCCTTTTACGAATCATAAAAGAAACACGCTTTTCTGTTACTATACGTGGGGATCGGGAGTTGGGGAGAGGTAACCTCAAAACTATATTAGAGAACTAAAGCCCAAATATATGCCCTATAAGCATATCCACATGCTTTAGTCCTTAAATGGCAAAAATAGATATGGTGTGGACAAATGTAACATCAATTAAAACAAGAAAGTGAAATTTGGAACTTCGTTGTATACACCATAACCAAATCGCCGCACCCGTTTTCCTCTAATTTCTTTCAAGTTAGAAGAGGAGATTTACATGAGACGTCCTTAAGGATATGATGTGACAAGCCAAGAAGATTTAGTTTGCAAATTGTCAAAGGTACTGTATGGATTAAAATGGGTTTCAAGAGCCTGGTTTGATAAGGTGCAAAATGAGCTGATCAAGCTTAGTTTTCTGACATCTAAAGCAGACAATTCCCAATTTTACAAGAGAAAAAATCAGGGCACTATCTTTCTTCTTATTTGTGTTGATGACATTCTAATTACAGGGAATAATCAAGGGTTGATCTCATTTGTGATCAAACAACTTCAAGAATGCTTCTACTTGAAGGACCTTGGAAATTTGCACCATTTTCTTAGTATAGAGGTGACAGAAACAAGTGATGGCTTGTTTCTCAATCAAGACAGCTACAATATTAGACAACTTATAGATAGAGCAGGAATGAAAAAAAGTAAAGAATTACCAACTCCTATGGTAACTGGAACCAAACTTTAAAAAACAGAAGGTGACTCTTTAGAAGATGCTAAGTTTTACAGGAGTTTAGTGGGAGTCTTACAGTATGAAACAATTGTTGGTATATGTGTCTTAGAGACAATCTTTTTAAGGACATATATACATGATCGCATTAATAATTATATTAGATTATAATTATGGTATTACAGTTAACTAAATAATTGTTTGATTGTTGTATGTTTATTATTATTATTATTTTTGTATCGTAAATTAATTTAGAATATTTCATTTACACACCTGGTTAGTCGGCATCATGTTTAATCCTTTCTTCTTGAATATGTCGCCTTATTTTTGGAAATATTACAAAAGGAACTTGTTCTAGTTGAAGACTTTATGAATCTATTGAAGTGTGTTGCTTTGTGATATTATCCATACAATACAGGTTTGTGTATACATCCATAATAGCACACTCACAAAATCAGAAATTTAAAAAAAT